CTGAGGGTTGCAATCCGTTGCCGGACACGAAAAAAGACAAAAAGGAAAAAAAAAAAGAAATTCAATAGCAAGACCATTAACCTAAAAGGTTGAGTTCACACTGAAGTCTGAATACCATTAACACCCTACGTTTCCCCCTGCCTGTCATTAAAAAAAAACTGCCTCACAAGACATCAGCATCCTGCAGCTGGAAAGCCAAACATGACATCTAAGAAGCCAACCAACAAAGACCTAAAACCTATTGGATCTTTCGAGGGTGAGCAGGATATGCATCTCAAGAACCCAGTACACAATAGACAATCAATGCTAACTTCCTTCATCCTTACCAGGCTGAACTCATGGCTTCACGTGTCTTCTGATCATTTTATAATCAGGTAGCTACACCCAAAATTGTTAAATATCTTTGGTATTTCCCTTCAAAGGAGCTTTCCCTCTTTAGAGAGACGGGGTAAGACGTGAAGGTGGGGAACTGGGGGAAAAGGGACCAGGGCTGGGGAATTCTTAACAGATTATACAAAGCCCTGGTAGTTTTCATTTACGTGTTTATTCATTCATTCATTCAAATACACACTGAGTTCCTATCTATCAGGTTTGTGATGGGCCCTGTGAATACATTTACAAAAATATGGAGATTACTTTAGAAGGGGAGTTCAACTCATCAGATCCTATTAATAACCATAAAATTATGATTGTGGGAAGTCTACTAAAGAAGGGTATATGATGCTGCTTCAAGTTTGTATCCAGGGGGTGTGCCTAGTGCAAAAGGTCAAGGAGGAAGTAATAACTGTGCTGAAACCTGGAAGACAGACAAATGTCAAAGGGTAGAGGCACACAGAGCAAAGTAAGCAAAGGCCCAGGAGCAGCAGGGCATACGGTACCTCCAAGGAATGAGAAGCCTGGAGTGTCAAAAGCAAGAAACATCATCACATAAAATAAGGCAGGCTCAGCCTGTGCAGGAAGTTATAGGTCAATAAGGTTTTTGAGCTTTACCCCCTCTCTAATCAAGTATCTAATAGCTTCAGCAACTCCATCTGTTTCTTCAAGAGAAAGAAAGAAAAGGAAGGGGTAAAAATGACCAAAACCTGCTTTTATAAATTAATAGGAGGGCAGGCCAGTTAGCTCACTAGGTCAGAGACAGTACTGGTAACACCAAGGTCAAAGGTTTGCATCCCCACACCAGCCAGCTGCCCCCTCACAAAAAAGAGAGGGCTGAAACTGAAGTCATTAACCATGGCACTTAATATTTCAGGATAAAATTCCTAAATTAACAGATTAATGAAGCTTTAAGAACTGTGTTATCTTCTTTTTTTTTTTTGTCTTTTTCCGTGTCCGGCAACGGATCGCAACCCTCAGTGTCGCGTGAACTGTGTTATCTTCTGATGAGATACTAAAACACTGGACAACGTTAATCAGTCCTTCTCCTCCTTCAGTGTCCCCTCTTGAGCCTTTACTTAAATGATACTAGTTTCTCTTGCCCTAGAAAGTCCTGACTGTTCTTGCCCTAGAAAGTCCAGACTGTTTCACTAACTCTATAATGTAGTTTGCAACTCTGTGGCTGCCTCTGAGGTTAATTAAGAAACCCAGAAACTTACCTGACTTTGAATAATCTTTCTTATAAACTACCATAAAACCAAATGGCACCATCATTCAAGCCTAAATCGTAACACATGAGTACCCTTGTCAGGTTTTGAAGAAAACACGCACAGCAAGGAGATTTTTTTCAGAATTTTACTTATCTATTTATTTATTTTGGAAGCTGGCCGGTATGGGGATCTGAACTCTTGACACTGGTGTTACAAGGCTGTGCTCTAACCCACTGAGCTAACTAGCCGGCCCAATTTTTCCAGAATTTTAATAAGCATTAGATGTTCTTTCAACATTACCATGTTCGGGCCAAGCCCGTGGTGCACTCGGGAGAGTGCGGTGCTGGGAGCGCAGCAGCGCTCCCGCCGCGGGTTCGGATCCTATATAGGGGTGGCCTGTGCGCTCACTGGCTGAGCGCAGTGCAGCCGGTCTCAAAAAGGACAAAAAAAAAAAACATTACCATGTTCTGCCATGAACACAAAAACCTGTAACATGTAGCATTGTATGAGGTCTGGAAAGCAGACAAATTCAGCAATGGCAACCTACACACCCAGAGAGGATTTCCGGCTACAGACTGGAAAGGGAAGAGGCACAAGGACTTAACATTAAGAGGATGGAGAGATATGTATGGAAAACGGGAAATCCACAGAAGTGCACAGAAATAAAAAACTCTTACCAAAACAAAACAAAAACAAACTCCACAAAAACTAGATCATGGAAAACTCAGAATCTAAGAAAACTTGGCCAGAGAAGAGCTGAAGAAAAGCGAGGTCCTGAAGACTGTGATTTAAAAAAAAGAAGTTCCTAGGCCGGCCCGTGGCTCACTCGGTAGAGTGCGGTGCTGATAACACCAAGACCCCGGGTTCGG